AATCGTGGCAAGACTAGTGATCGACACGATTTAACTTTTTAATAATTTTATTTTAAAATAGAGCGTGACAGACTATATATATTATTATGTGCGGTAGAGAAGGATGCACGATAGCCAGAGCCTTATTCAGGCTCAAAAGCAAAGCATTCCTCTCCCTTGATGTCAAGTCGAGTGGGTCTGATGGAGTCTCTACTATTGTGCTGAAGACGGGTGCTCCGGAGTTAGCACTGGTTCACCCTGGGCACCCCAGTGCTTTCCACTTGACCGCATCCAGCGAACAGTGGCTCGAATCATCAAGGACCAAGTTCTTTATAATCGGCTCGATTCACTGGCTCAATTTTTACGGAGAGTATTTAGATAAATTGTTCAGCACGCACATCGGGACAAAACCCACGATACCATCCACATCATCTAGATTCTTGGCGGTTCACCATGACTGTGCGATTTACAATGAGTGTTCGCCCTCGCAAGACTTCTTTGTAAAATCGTGTGATTTTTCCAGACCTATACGACTTAGAGACCTTCAAGGAAAGAGCTTACTCGTTTTACTACTACTCATTACTTAAAATGTCCGGCAACGCACCTGCAATATCCCTGGTGTTGCAGTTGTTCATGGGCGATGGTCGCTACACTTACTATCAGGAAAACTTGATTTATTGTGGACGAAACCGAGGGGCGGAAAGCTTGTAAAATATAAAAATCTAGTAAATATATTCGTGGGGTGAGCATGCACGGACAGAAAAGGCGGGGAGGGGAGGGGGGGTATATTCATTGATAGCCCAGGGCTGTCGCAACTCGTAATCAGGCTCTGGCTATCGTGCACATAATAATTCCCTACCGCACATAATAATATATATAGTGTTCTCTGTTACCAGGGACGTAGCTACCGCCGTATCAGCCGTATCAATGATACGGGGCCCCCGGGGTACAGAGGCCCCGAACGTATGTATGTATATGGGACAGGATGTTGGTTTGTATTGTTTGGCTAGCTTAGTTCCTAGGAGTATTAATTGTAAGTAATAACTTATAATCGATCGTGTCGATCACTAGTCTTGTCACTATTAAATTTTTGGTAAAAAGAGTGAGGGTAAATTACTATATCAGTTTACCTGTTTACACCTGGTTGACAGGTATTGTTACGTGGAAAAAGGTAAAATATAAGCCTATTTTTTACAGATTTTATCGCGTTTAATTTACTATTTAAATTCCCGACGTTTCAGGTACTTTACAGATACTCATGGTCACGAAGGGGGGGGGGGGGGGGGCTAAAAAGGTACTCAATCATGGTGTGGCATTTTCTATATATATTTATTTATCGATTGAGACCAATTTTATCAAGGAAAAGAATGACCGTAACCGGTAAAAATATTAATTAAATAATTTTTAATTAAAAATAGCTTTGCCCACAAAGGCTGTCAATCACTCCGATTTGTATTTATTTGTATATTTTATTATAAAAAATATTATTTCATCAAGGAAAAGAATGAGGGGTATTTTAGTAAATCGGATCTTAGACTATATCCCGATCGAGCCGACCCATTCGTTTATAATATAGTTTATTAAAAATAAAAATTGGAATAACTATGTAACTTTAGCATTAGCGCCATCTACTGTTTACTTGTTTAAACAGAAAATTTGTTCTAATTCTTTTTTAACTCTATTTCATTTTCTTGTTATTAGTACTGCCATGACCTTGCATATAAAGGAGGACGGAAAGGAATGTGTGTGACCGTTCGGCACCACCCAATGACAGACTAGACATAATATATTATCATTGCAATGTTCTTTTTATGTTTATAATTTGTAACTTGCTTCCATCTGATAAGTTTAGCTGTTGCAAATTACACCAAATTTCAAATTGCTATGTACACTATTTGAATGGTTGGTGGGCTCCCACTTTACGATTTTGCAGAAATTCGCTACTTCAAAAGACTACTTCATAAAATCTGTTGTCTGTGGTAATTCAACGGATTGAAATGTCTAAGAGATTTTCAAGAAAGGGCGTAATATAATCTTTTTCGGAAAATCATCTGCGATTCCGGATGGAGTTACTGATATTTATGGGTGGCAGTGATCACTTTCCTTCAGGTGAGCCGCATTCTCTATTGCCCCATTTTCTACATAAAAAAAAACGATTGCCTTAAATCATTAACCATTTTCTACTACAACGCCCTACAAAATTTAAAAAAAAATGTATTTTATAACTTTAATATTTTTTCACTTTAAATTGTGAAGCAATATTTACGTTTTATTCGACGTAAGCTTTAATTATTACGAAAGAAATGGAGTTTGTTGTTATAGATAAGAACTGGTATTTAATTTCAGATTATACAAATCTTTTACTCTGTATAGTATTGTTACGATTGTAGAATTGATATAATAGATAATGATATTGATAATAATTTAATAGTGTACATATTCAACCTTTGTGAAAGGTAAAAACCTATCAAATTCCTTAAATTTTTGTTAGTATAAGAAACTATGATAATATTAATATAATCGTAGAAATATTTATCAATAGTTTAAAGAACAAATTAGATAAGTTTTATTAATCCATAAATTTTATAGTCGTTTTCAACCTTTTACAAATAATTTATTTTTATTTCGTTAGATTTATATTTGATAACAACATTATTATTTCCATTATATCGAAAGGGACATAACATTTAAAATAAGAAAAATCACACTCAAACAATTTTTAAAATAGTTTACCTGACCCGGTAATCGAACTTAAAAATGCAAAAATTGACTATCACTATTTTATTCAACCAGTCGATAGGGTCTATGATAAGGATGAAATCTCTCGAATAAACACTCTATCTTACAATTAAATAAAGCTATGAAATCTAACATTTCGTACATATCGACTCGAAATGACATCCTAACCTAGACTGTTTATTTATTAAAGTCAAAAGACCTTTTATCATTTTCTTAAAACTCCACAATAAGGTTACCTAAATACACGAAAAACTATATGAAGTTTAATTATAAGCTTAAAAATATAAAAACCTTAATAAAATACAAACTTTATTATCTGAATGTCATTTTTCAGACAAGACAAGTTTAAAAATTTAATTTGTAAATGATTAAGTTGTTATTTTGAAATTGAAACGGATGTATCGATAAACTGCTGTTATTTTTATTTATTTACTCTTTTATATTAGTAACGGCTCATCAGGAAGAATTTAAACAACAGAAGTGCCACTTTAACTCTACAGCGGTATGAAGAAACATATCCGGATAGACACCGAAAACTGTTGTTACCAATGGTAAAAAATTACACAATATAACGACCATAACAACAAATATAGATATTTGACATATTTTAAGTATTATATAAAACCTTACTTGAAGGGAAGCTGCCAAAATGTGCTGGAAAAGTACAAATACAAATGTTATCGCAACCTATAATGAATTAAACTACATAATGGAGGCAGTGATAGAAAATTGGAATTTTGTCAGAATATTCAAACAGAAATAGCCTGCAATCCAAACTTCTTAGATAACGTTGTGTAAACAAATTTTAGCGATAATAGAATGCAAATTTTACCAAAAATGGGCGTAATAATTATTATAATCAGTAGTAGTTAGTTAAGAGATATTTGCGTTTAGTGATTGGTTTGGCATCAGGAGAAACGGGTTTGAAGGACACTTGAATGCTAGAAAATAAAACGAAATATTAAACCTTTTACGTAATTCATTTAATAACCTGCCAGAAATTAACGTAATAACGAAATAATGTTATATTTTGACTCAACTGTGCTCTTGACCATTATAGTTGAATATGCACTGCTTATCTTAACAATTTCAAATTCTGGATAGGTACAAACAAAATATAATATATATTAAATGTATAATATAAAATAAATATATATTAAATGGCCCGCAAGATCTTCAGATCGAGTTCCTCTTATTATGGAGTTTTAAGAAAATGGTAAAATGTCTCTTGACTTTTAGAAATAAACTGTTTAGCTTAGGATGTTGAGTCGATATGTACGAATTGTTAGATTTAATAGTTTTATGTAATTGTAAGATACGATATTTATTCTAGAGATTTTATTTTTAGATCCTATCGACATTTTTGTTTGTCTGTCTGTCTGTGTGTCCATCCGAGCTAATCTTGGAGAACTTTTTTTGAGAAATCGAAATATTGATAAAATAAATGGTCTTTGATGATTATCTTAAATATAAATGTCACCTCATTAATTAATAGATCTTTATATCTTAAATATTATGCTGTTACTGTTATATAATCATTTTATATATTATAAATATTTATAATATATGTATATAATTGTTGTTGAGTATGTTAGTGATCATGTAACTTCTGAACAATTTGACTGATTGAAGTCATTGTTTGTTTTGTCGAGGCAATGGTTCACCCAAAAGGAGGCTTTGTTATCAAATATTAACAAGTTCTATATTTACACATCATAAAAGCTCATATTTACAATGAAATATGTTGGTTTAGTCTCAAAAAAAAATTACAAAATCTGGTCCCGATACGAGTTTTTATATTTACATTGTAAGAAGTCTGTAACTCCTCGGGCCACCTGCCGGAATGGGCCGAACAGCGTCTGTCAGGCACGGTAGTCATGAGTATATTAATTTCTATATTACATGTCTATGTATATCTAATGGTTTAACTTTTTATATAGTTACATATTCTTCTTCTATTCTATCATCAGTCCATAAAAATTAGATACGACATGGGCTTATCGAGCTCTAGACATGTTTCGCTATAATTGTCACACTGGCAGGCAGATTGTCGATTCATCAATAATTCATTTAGCACCTTTGAGGCCGCCTTCCTTCGCCATTCTGAGTATTTTACAGGATATATGTATACAAAATTTAAAAATATACTAGATGGTTGTACTGCCCCATACCTAACGAGATAAAATGGGATAGCGGATATTTTAACGCCTCCTTCATTCTGCGTAGTTAGGCTTTATGGTACAAATTTCATTTTCAGTCATTTCATTAATAAATAAAATAATTTAGACCGGCAGAGTTTTCTTAAAGTTATAAGGTTCCGCAAGAATTTTTGTTACTCTGGGAACAGTGATAGGCTTTGGCAAATCTTCATAATCTGTAAAAACATCTACCGGTGCTTGGCTAAGTGCTTTTCGTTTGCCAATATAATAAAATAATGAAGCTGTTAGTATTAATAAAATAAGAGATAAAAGAACAACCATAGTGACTACTAACGGTGTCCAAATGCTGAAGTCAGTATTAGGTTTTTCAGTTATTGGATCTGTTGTTGGGAAAATCGTAGTTTTAATTATTTCTTCGGGATTTTTTGTAGTACTGGTTTGCTCTTTCTCTTTGTCTAAAGTGGTGTATGAGTCTTCGTCTACTGAATCTTCTGTTGTAGTACTAAAATATGTCGTAGCTTCTTCACGCGTAGTACTCCACGGTGGTGAGGTTTCGTAGTCTGTTTCCGGTGTTTGGGTTAAATTCGTCATCTCAGTTTGAGTTGATTGCGTTGTTGCTTGTTCAGCTGTTGTGACATCAGTATTTGATATCGATGGAGTACTTGTATTATCAGTAAATGTTGACAAAGTCGTATCATTTACATCTGATTCTGAACTACTTACTTCTGTTTGTATCGTAGTTGTTATGTCTAATTCACTTGATGTGGTTTCGGGCACGGTTTGGATTTGATCTGTAATAGTAGTAATAATCGGATCGGTTATTTCAGACTGTATTGTTGTACCTATATCAACAGTACTAGAAAAGTTTTCATCAGTCATAGTATATATTTGAGTCGTAGTTTGTTCTGTAGTAGTTATATGATCAGTTGCAGGTATGTCATGTTTTTCAGTTGTTAAATAAACGTTTGTAGTTGTTTCTGTAGGCGTTATTGTAACAATATCATTAACTTGTGTTGTAGTGGTATAATCCGTCTGTTCTAATGTAGTAGCTTCGGAGTCGGTCGGACTTGACTGGATTGTGATAGTAAAATTTGTAGATTCTGTTAAGGTAAAAGATTCGCTAACTGTGGTAATAGTAGGTGTAGAAGTTGCACTATCAGCAGTATTAGAACTTGGTGTAGTTGTAGTATTATCAACAACTTCCTGGTATATTTTGCAAGACTCTTCATTGTATTGTGGTGGAATATAACGGAAAGAATCAATAAGAACTATGGAGTCACTCGATGCCATACCAACTAGAGATACCTGAAACAAATTATAAATTTATTAGATGAAGACATATTGATTTGTCTTTCAATCTATTTTTAGTAATTTAGTTTTACATTGCCACTACACGGAAAAATAATGTATCAATAGCGTCGAAATTTTTGTCTTAATTTTTAAAAACTGGTGACAATAGCACTACTTAAATAAAATATATAATAATGTAATTTTTTTGTTTATCGTATCGTACGTATAAACTAATCTAATATTATATCTTTACTACGGTTGTATAAAATTTTTGTGAATCGTTATGTTTCTGAATATAAACAAAATTGACTGAACGGGACTGAATTTCTATTTTGAATGATCTTTTATATTGCATAATATGCACGAAATTACTTTGGTTTTCACTACCTTCATAACCAAAAAAGTTTTCCATTTGTATTATTTTCTGAACTTTACTTAATTTATAGAAAAATTTTGCGATGTTGTACGTTATGTGCTGAAGGAAATCTTAAATGTAAATAAAAACTACATTATTTGAAAGAAATATTTTTTTTTCAAAACATTGCGTATGAAATTTTGTTTATTACTCTCTGTGCGTAATAAACGAAATTTCTTTTATGTTTGTAAGAGCATCGATAATTGTATAATAAACATTACTAGCGCTGTATTTAATTAGGATAGGCGTAAATTTATGTAGTTTGTGTCTTTGAACATTTACGAATAGGTGTCACTGTTCAATTTTAATAAATATCCTCAAAATCTTTACAATGGTACTCTGCTTAAATTAGATGTTTCTTAAAAGAAGGTAGCCATCGATATTGCCACCAGTTATGATATTTATATACGTCTGAGGGAATTTAAGGGCAAGGAAACATGTCTTCGAAATATTTATTTTAATTTCTCAGACACCGTCGAGCACCTAGTAAATCAACAATAAAAATTCTATTTGAAAAATAAGTTTATTTATTTATTTATTTCTGAAACTTACAAATATCATTACATGATTACCTAATGCAATAGTGTAGCTGTCTAACTGATTTGTATTCATGCTTTAATTTTTGTAACAAATTACAAGCAATGCTGTCTTTGTGAATCTACTCAGAGTAGAACAGAACAAGTCCGTATCACTACCTATTAAGTTGAGCGTATGAGAGGCGCCTTACTCAGAATGTTGGTCCGAGTGCGCGGCTCCACGAACAGTCGCGGCTGCCGTCAGCGCCACACATAGCAACACATATCTTTAATTGCCCTAAAATTTCAGCGTTATGCAATTTTCCTCTGAGTATTTTAAAAATATACGAGGTGAGCGCAAGTTCCCTTCTAACTCTTTATATCCTATATATCATATCCTACCATACCCAAGATAAACAAAGTTGGATACATGAGAGGATAAAACGGGTATACACCATAATAACGCATATATAAATATCTAATAAATTTATTCTGTACTCGTTCTAGCATGAGACTATACTTGATCACGTACTGTGACATTTATAGTGAGTGTTTAACCCGTGAGCTGCCACGGCTCATGTGGATGAGAGGGTATTTTATCTCATGAATTTTCTTCAAACGGAATGGAAACATTGTCAAAAGAATTATTTATTCTTAATTATTACGTAGGGGTGATTTTTCATAACTGTTACGGTTGGCAGGCAAATTGATAACCGCAATATAATACTGCCCTTAGTCGGTCTGGATATTTTATGTCTGGCTCCGACGTAACCGATATAGTTAAACCGCCTTAAATTGAAAGCCATTTGATTTTTTGGCGTTTCCCATATTTGCCTCTTACTGCACCCCCGGGACGAAATGGGGTGAAGGATTAATTTACGCGGCCACTACACGGCAAACTAATTATTGTCCTTATAAATTAAGTTTGCAATGCAAGAAACCCTATATTTTTATGAACAAGATCCTTAGTTTATTTGTCATATTTTTTAGTGCATATCTACGTTACTTAGTTTTATTTTAAATATACTATATTAAACAACTTACGGCGCCGCACCTTCGGTGTTTAAGTAATTCTACACTTGAGCGGTTATTGATGAAATACCATCTTATAAGTTAAAAAATGTCTATACTATTACTGTTAAGTTAGAACAACAGTAATAAAAATTCAAAACAAATAAATTACTAAGAATGATTCTAAGCAAACAAAGTCGCGATCACAGCTAACATAGCAAATAAAAATTATCACAACAATAGAATAATAAATATTATATTGTGTATCTTTATTGTTGGATTGATTTAGATAAGTGTAATAGAAAACATACATATCTATGTTGTATAATATTTTATTGCAAATGTCATTAAATTTTATTTTGGAATTTTCTACAAATAACGTTGTTTGTTCATAAAACAAAATTGAATTGATATATCGTGGTCCAATTGTAGAATTAATCAGATCGTAACCTACCTCGACATTTCATGATCTGCCATTTCATGTTTTGGCTTTTGGTCAATTATTTATAACTATGACTTCGGTTAACATTGATAAAAATTCGAAAGCACTATTTAAGTATTATTAGGGACAGAAGGGAAAGGTGCGGCCGGGGTGGCTTTTGGGATAGGCCAAATTTGGGTAAATTTAATATACACTGCCGGCCAAAAGTTTAAGACCATACTTAAACAACATAATTATCTATAAATTGTAACGAAATCCCATAAGATAAATCGAAGAAATGTACACCTGCATATTCTATTTTTAATATCGAATATCTAAAGAAGTCATTCTTTTATTTACTTTCAAGTTATTGGACAATAAACATGTATTCTTTTCAAACACCGACAAATGCTGCGTTAGAGCCAGGTGGTATAGTAGTAATAATATTTTTATAATGGGCTTATATGTAAGTTTGGCACACAGTAATATGGTTTATAAATTATCGGCTAGTGCTTATCTGTATCATACGCCCAGGCAGATCACTATCTGTCCATTTCTATGATCGGACAACGAAACACTTTATAAATTGCCTTCGGCATTTCACAAATTTTGCAAAGAGACGCTGTTATAATATGATGACGAATCATACAAACTGCTTGAAACATACTTGATTGAAATTACTTGAGTAGTGCTTGCTTGAAGTAGATTATAGTGTTGATAATTCAAATGATGTGTTAATGATTGAATTCATATTATGTTTCTAATTTATTTATACTTGGCAAATATCTTATGCCATCAAAAACATAACTTGTAAAAAAACCAAGTCTCGCAACTCAGTTCTTCTACCGTAAAAAGTTGTGAGATCCATGTAATACCAAGTCGGTTAATTTATTTAGTCCCTACTTAAGGGTCCTTCTGTCTTAAGTTATTACGTAATTAGCTAACCTAACAATATCTTATAGTGACCATATCAATATTAAAAATCTTTTATGTTTTAAATAAATTAATTTGGCAATCGCACTAAACAATCTAATTTAATGTAATATGTATTACTTGAGAGATACATTGTGTTTTCATGCAATGGCCAAGTCTTTTAATAATTGTGTTCTGAACTTGAAGCTTCTATGTCTGCTCGAAGTGCCTTAGAGTTTTTATGATCGGTCAGTCAGTGAGTGACAAAATTAAGAAAATTTGACTAGTTATAACTCTTAAACTACTGGTTCAAATTTAATAAAATTTGAAATATACCGAGTTTATACAATGCCTACTTGGTTAGTGAAAATTAAGGTTTCTAGTTTTATGCACAACTAAGTTATAGGGTTTCGAAAATGGCCTGAACTGCTTCAAGAAAAGGATGGTACGGCCGTGCCGCTTTTTGCTCGACTTGGCAGGCGCACTGCCGTGCCTCCAGATTAGGCAACCTATGAAAGAGATCTATGTTCATTAGTGGACTTTGATAGGTGATTACTATGTTTAATTAACAGTTTAGTCATCTAATTAATCCGCCGATTAGTATGCTAGAATGAGGTTAAAAGGGGAATTTTAAACTAATTTGTTTTAAATTTATGTTGGCTATATTTTTGGAAGACGCTATTGAGGTCAGTGAGCATAATGCTTAGGGTTTCCAGTTTTTCTGCCATAAAGACTATATTCACGGAAAATTTAAGATGAGTGATGAATTCGTCATTGATGTTAATACCGTATCTTTTGCAGTCCAGTACCTTGAAAACGTCTTCCAATGCAGCAGTGAAGAGTTTTGGGGATATCGTCACCCTGTCTTACACCTCTCTGCAGTTCGATAGGTTCCGTATTCTGGTTCTATACTAGTATAACCATCGAAGTGTAAGTGTACAAATACTTCAGCACTTCGATATATCCACAGTTAACTTAGCACCGGAATCAAAGCACCGAAATCTTTCTGATATATACGCAAAGCAAAGTAACAGTACTCTTCGGTTTTCTGTATAATTTGCTGGTGTACTTGTAGGCTATATGTGTGGTCTATGGTAACAGCACGCAGATGCGGCTCAGAAGGGAAATCGGTCAGTAGTTCTTCAACAGAGCGTTGTAACCTTTCTTGACGTACAAACTCACCGCAATTCTAATGTACGCCTCCGGAGTAGGGCCACCATGGAGGACGGAATTTAAGAGCTTCTGAAGGACTTGAAATACTGGTTTTCAATTCGTTTTTAGAAGCTCCGTTGTAATTAATTATTTATAACGGTGGTAGAGCCACGCAACGGCGTTTGCTGTTGCACGTATGGGCCGGCTCGAGCCAGGTTAGTACCACGACCTCACAGAATACCGGCGTGAAGTGGAAGCTCTGCTTCCGCGTTTCGTCTGGTGAGTGCAGGTGACTGGAGGCCCTATTCCCCCCCCCCCCCCATTAACATGGTAGCAGAATTCCGCTCAATACAATAACATAACCAAGGCGACCCCTGCCACGCTATCCGTGAATTTCTGCAACATCAGAAGACTTCACTCGAACCTAAACGCCGTCCACTACTATCTCGAGACGGCGAAGCCGGCCTTGCTCTTTCTGACCGAGACGCAGGTGTCCTCTCCGGCTGATACTTCGTATCTCTCCTACCCGGGGTACAAATTGGAGCACTCCTATGTGCCTCGGGCTGGAGTTTGCGTATACGTCAGAGAGGACATCTGTTCTCGACGCCTCGGCAGTCTTGAAGGTTCGGACCTGTTCATCCTTTGGCTACGCGTAGACAGCGACGACCTTCCGCGCGTCTACGGGTGCCTCTATAGGTCCCATAGCGGTAATGCCGAAACAGGCCGACTCATCGACCACGTCCAAATGGCTACAGATTCCTTGCTACAACAGGTCTCATCCGCAGAGATCGTGATCCTTGGCGATTTTAACGCCCACCACGCCGAATGGCTCGGTTCACGTTTAACCGATCATGCGGGGAGATCTGTTCATGACTTTGCCTTGGCATATGGTCTGACACAACTGGTTACATCGCTTACGCGGATTCCAGATGTTGAGGATCATACACCGTTCCTGTTGGACCTTCTGCTGACCTCTCATCCGGACGGATATCAGGTTTCCGTCGATGCCCCTCTCGGCTCTTCGGACCATTGTCTGATCCGGAGTGTGGTGCCACTCACGCTCCCCTCGCGGTTGCGTTCTGCAGATTGCGACCGTGTTTGGCATTACAGCTCAGCGGATTGAGACGGAATGCGGTCTTTCTTTGCTTGCTATCCATGGGGGCGGGTTTGCTTCTCGCCGGATGATCCCAGCGCTGTTGCTGACTCTGTCACTGATGTGTTGCTACAGGGAATGGAACTATTTATTCCATCATCTGTGGTACCCATCAGAGGCAGATCTCAGCCTTGGTTTGGTCGCTCTTGTAAGACTGCATTACGCAGTAAGCAGGAGTATTATCAAGCCTGGGCTGCGGCTTCGGTGACTCGGGATGTAAACACCAGCACACTCAAAAAGAAGTATAACTTCGCCTCCAGGTCCTTCAAAAGAGTTATTGCCAAGGCAAAGTCAGAGCACATAGGCTGAATTGGCGAGAAACTAGTTCGCCTTCCTTCGGGAAATCGTGCATTCTGGTCTCTCGCCAAGGCTGTCCAAGGGAATTTCTGTAAGCCATCACTACCATCTCTGCGCAAGGAGGTAACTCACTGGCCCACGCCGCAAAAGAGAAAGCCGACCTTTTAGGCTCCCTTTTTGCGTCCAACTCGACTCTTGATGACGGGGGGAACACACCGCCGACCATCCCGCGATGTAATTGCTCCATGCCGGATGTGCAGTTCTCACAGCGCTCGGTTTGCAGAGCACTCTTCTCCCTGGACATCCACAAGTCGAGTGGGTCTGATGGAATCCCCCCAATTGTGCTGAGGACGTGTGCTCCGGAGTTGGCACCGGTTTTAACGCGTCTTTTCCGGTACTCCTACTCCTAGGCATAGTCCCGAAATCATGGAAGACAGCTTTTGTCCACCCGATCCCTAAAAAAGGCGACCGCTCAGACCCGTCCAACTACAGGCCTATTGCCATCACCCCCTTGTTCTCCAAAATAATGGAATCCGTTATAAACTGCCACCTCATTCGGTACCTTGAGGAACACCGGCTGATTAGTGATGGTTTTTGTCGGGGTCGATCAGCTAGTGATCTTCTGGTCTACTTAACTCATAGATGGGCGGAGGCAGTAGAGTCCAATGGGGAGGCATTGCGTTAGTTTGGACATTGCGAAGGCTTTCAATCGGGTTTGGCACAAAGCGCTTCTTTCGAAGCTCCTTTCCTATGGGCTTCCCGAGAAATTGTGCAATTGGATCACTAGCTTTCTTGCAGATCGGAGCATCAAGGTCGTTGTAGACGGTGCATGCTCCGACTACAAGCCTATTAACGCTGGTGTTCCACAAGGCTGTGTGCTATCACCAACGCTGTTTCTTCTGCATATCAATGATATGTTGCAAACCGGTAGCATTCATTGTTATGCGGATGACAGCACTGGTGATGCTCTATACACCGGCGGTGCCAATATTTCTCGGGAAAACGTCACCGAGTACCGGAACAAACTTGTGTCTGAAGTCGAGTCTTTGCTGGACAAAGTCTCAGATTGGGGGCGACTAAATCCAGTCCAGTTTAATCTCCAGAAGACACAAGTTTGCGCGTTTACCGCTAAAAAGAACTCCTTTGTCGTATCTCCTCAGTCACTTGGAAGAGAAGGCGAAATTGGCCTCTAAAAAGCTTGGCGTGCTCAGCAGAGCGGGACAGTATTTCATGCCAGCACAACGCCTGCAACTTTACAAGGCGCAGGTTCGGCCTCACATGGAATACTGTTCCCATCTCTGGACAGGGGCTCCCCAGTGCCAGCTCCTTCCACTTGACCGCATCCAGTGCAGAGCGGCTCGAATCTTCGACGTCCAAGTCCTTTCTGATCGGCTCGACTCATTGGCGCAGCGAAGAGATGGTTGCATCTTTTTGCATTTTCTTTCGCATTTACCACGGGGAGTGCTCTGGGGAATTGTTCGGATTTATCCCAGCCGCCAAATTTCACGAACGCACATCGCGGCAGTACTCCCGATACCATCTGGATGATTGGCGGTCCACCACTGTGCGATTTAGAAGATGTTTTCTTCCTCGCACGACTTCCTTGTGGAATCGATTACCATCAGCGATTTTTCCGGACCGATACGACTTAGGGACCTTCAAGAAAAGAGCCTACTCCTTTTTAAAAGGCCGGCAACGCATCTGCTATTTCCCTGGTGTTGCGGTTGTTCATGGGCGGCGGTAGTCATTTACCATCAGGTGAGCCGCATGCTCGTTTGCCCCCTCTCCTATAAAAAAAAATCACCCTCGCCAGAGGCCTTGCTAGAGCTATTCTAATCTCGTTCAGATTGACTTCCTTTATATTATCGGATATCGGAATAGTGTCGGATAAGACTTGCTATTGGATCTTACTCACATTTGCGTGTGGCTTCATCGAAGACGTGTACAGCTGCCCGTAGAACCTCTCAATCTCTCTCAAAATCTCATGTGTACTGGAATCGAATCTACGACATTCGGTTTTCCCTTTCTGGCAGACAGATCTCCAGTAAAGACTTTGGAGCCTTGTTTCCGCTCGATCGCTATTTCAATACGAACTGTATTAAAGTGGCTTAAGTCCCGCCGTAAGCATTTAGAGATCTATCTATTCAGTTACTTGTATGCTGTTATATCTGCTGAAAACTGCAGCTGTATTTACCGGTTAACAGCCATGAGATTAAAAATATGATCGCAGAGTTTTGGGGCATTCTGCGACGGGTGTTGTAGAACTTAACTTCGACTGCATAGATAATTTCCACGAGTTTGTCATTCATATCGTCCAGTGCATTACAGTCTTCTAGGCACTAAAAATTATTTTGTAACCCGAGCTAAAAGTTTTCGGGGCTTTGGATTACAGCATGAGGAGGACGGAGCGTTGACTTCATTAGAAGTGACCTCTCTAACTTAACGGTTAGGTTTAGTATGCCTCTCACCATTCGGTTATTGCTGCCAGTTTTCACCCTCGCGGATCTCATTTTTTGTCGAATTGTTGGGGCTCGCCCAGTTCCACTTTCTGTGGGGCCACTTCTGGAAGAAAGAGTTCATCATATAGATTACCTCTTTCTCCATGCATTTTGTGCAATGTGGCAATATTGTCTTCCAACGGATAGGTTTACCTATGGCAGTAGTTATTGGGAGTAGCACTACGCTCGAAGTTGTTGACGAGTATATTTACCTGGGGCAAATAGTCCGACTAGGTAAGTTTAACTTCGACCGAGAGGTCAATTGACAAATTCAACTCTGCTTGGCAATGTTCGGGAGATTACGGCACATCTCGTCAGACATACCTCAAAACTTCAAAACAAAATTGTACAAACAGTGTGTGGGGCCAGTGATGACTTATAGATCTAAGACGTGGTTTTCACTGCTGGCGTAATGAGGAAGCTCTAGGTCTCTAGTAGATGGAGCAATAACCTTTAAAGACATGCAAGTAGTCGATAGATGCAGGTAGCTCAAGACCGTTACACAATATTTAAAATTCACACTTTGGTAGTCTAATCAGTCTATAACCTACATAACGCTTTTGCGATAAGATCGGAGATGGCTAAGGTCCAGTGAGAGTAACTCCAGAAAAATCACAGTACTGAACCGAAAACTAACTATAAGTTTTTGCACAAATGTTGGCACCGGTTGAAATTTACCAATCACGTAGAAGCAGCTACTTTAACCTCTAAACTACGACGAAATGTTATTAAGTAATTATATAAGTAACTTACATATCCTTCATATGTTCCAGATCCACTTAAAGTTATTCGCAATGCATGCCATCCGATTTCAAAAGTGGGATTCATTGGAGTAATGGCAGTGTTACCAACGGACGCGTCTGCACCACCTGATACCACTTCATTGACAACAAGCGATATTTGATCGGTCTGTGATGCTGGATCCATAAATAAATTCACTTCAAAAACTCCACCAGCAGACATTAGAAATGTGAAAGATGAAACACAGCTCAGAAGGGTGTTCGGTGAAATGAACGTTGTGCTGAGGGGATGTGGACTATCAATCGGGATTGAAGAGTAGTTTCCAATATCCCACATCTCCATTGCATTGCATATTCCTTTTTCTTTAGCAAACAAACTCTCAAAATTTTCTTCGAAACTGTATGTAACACAGTCTTTGCCAAAAACCACCGGACAAAGAAGAAAAAACAAAATAAAACGCTTTTGATCCATTATTTTAACAAATACTTGTATTCCATGTGTCGCTTCCTATTTACAATGAGTTATACAAATTTTTTGTCAATACCGTCACCGTTATATCAATAAATACTATTTAAATATCATTAGGGATAAGATAAAGACGTAGAATCTGGATATATTGATAATAAATTCCGCAATGCTAATGCTTTAATTGGCTAAGTATTATTTTATTGTTATAATTTACGTTTTGTTTTCCAGAAAAAAAGATTTAGACGATAAATATTTCCACGAATGTTCTCTTTTTACTTATCTACAATATTGCATTATCAATAAATTCTGCATTCTGTATTTAAACCTTTTATTTTATTGCTTAATCAGACAATACATTGCTAATAATAGAACATGAAGCGATTTACGAATAGGCGATTAAACCAATAAACTATTTGCGATAAGTATACATAAGTACTACATATAAACGTCATTTTTTAAAAGCAGTATTAAAGGGTATGAAAACAATAAATTTAAATCAAATGTAGTAAAATATTAGGTCGCCAAGAAATTCCATAAAACACTGTCCTGAGCTTACCCTGCCTTACACCACTCTGTAGTTGTATATATTTCATCTGATTTTGTCTTGTTCTTACTCTGATTTTGTACTGTATAGTCATCGTAGCTGTACAAGCACCTCATTAATTTTATATACCGACAGTCAACGTGACACCGCTGAAGGGCGTGTAGCGTCGCCCAGATTTCAACAAAATCATAGGATTTCTAATAGATCACTTATGCAAAGCAAAGTAGCAGACAGTACTCTTGGTTCTTGTATATAATTTGTCAAAGTGTATCAATGGTGTTTTTGGTATTAAAAACTTTTCAGAAAGGTGCTTGTTCGGGAGGATAGAAATCGTAAAGTCTGAGTGCAAGAAATTTTGTAATGACTGTGACTGTTATAGACGCAGCTCTGAAGTGAAATCGGTTTGTAGTTTTTTAATAGAGAATTAGTACCTTTCTTGAAGAACAATGCCATCATAATCTATACCTCTTTTGCTTCTGCTCTAAAGTACTATGGAAAATGGAGTTGAAAAGCTTCTGTCGGACTTCTCTGGGACATCGTAATCAGCACTATCGTTTATGAACACTTGACCAACGAGACATTCAACCGAAAAGTATAGCAAGTAATGAATGGAGTGAAAAAATTTAATTCTTAACGTCAAATTTCCACCCGTAGGGTTTGGAAACTTTCTTCAAAGATATACGACAATGTAAGTATAACTTATTTAATAAAAAATAATTATTAATTATGGTTCATAATTGATAAATATATCACGTAATACAAAAAAAGACTTACAGTCAAATTGAGAATCTCCTCCTTTTTAAAGCTGGCCAAAAACGGCATCAAAAAACTGCAACGGAGCGGAATAAAACAGAACAGGAGAATATAAAGAGAGTAGGAAATAATAGATCAGACCGGGACAGAAAGTCATAGAATGTTATTTTATTTTATCTTTCACATCATAATAATAATATATATACTGTGTATTAGATAAAGCAATATTTATAGCTATTATAGCGTAACAAGATGTTGCAATAGCAAAAAAGCAAAACAAGACGAGCATAAACAAGGCCTTTACATGAATAGAAATAGAAGAGGTAAAATATCCATTATTAGATTTTTATGGACTTGTTATTTGGAAATAAATAATTTAAAAATGATTGCTTACCTTTTCAAGTATTTTTTCAGCTAGCAGTATTTATCATATCATTTTAAAATTTATTTTTCTTCTTTCGGCCATAAATAATGTAATTAACTAAGTAGTTTGAAATGACGATGTTTGTTAGTTTTTTCTTAGGTAATATGTAGTGTACTTCGAGTGATTATAAACCTCGTTCAAAATCAATTACAAATGTAACAAAAGAGTTTTGTTGAAACATGAACATGCACTGACAAAAAGTTAAAAATTATCTGTTATTTTATCTTGATCAAGATTGATTTTAGATATGATAGATTACAAAAATAATCAATAAGTAAGTAAGCAAATTAATAAAATGAAATTGGTATTAAATCGGTAACCGACGATCTGATGGTAGAAATTTGTCCATTTTCAAATCGTGACATTAGATTTGCCGTAATCGTTATTTGCATAATTTTCATATTGAAATAGAAGTTTTAAACGTTGTAGAGCTACGGTGCACTTATATTATGGTTGTGACACGAAGGGGTCAGCTCGACCGGGAAAGGACAATGTCCTCACAAAAATTTCAGCTCTTTCTTGCTTCAGCTTATAGCTGCCGTGTTGCGTGTAGTATCTGGAGACTCTTTATACTGGGAATGAGGCATTCCAAAGATAGATGTGAATGTCTGTTGACAACAGCATCCGCTTAATACGTACACACTGCTCAAAAAACGTAAAGTTGCTACTAGCCGAACGAACTCTGGATGACGGTGACCTATATATAACATACTTAAGTCTTATGATTCTAAGTTATAAATTTAAATATTTTGTATGCTCTAATGTAATGTAAATATAAGCTGTTAACTTAAATACTACTATTATTACTATTTATGTAATGTTATGATTTCTTTTTAATCAAAAAAAAATCAAAAAATCAAAAATATCTTTATTTCACAACACAGTGGTTTATAATTGTAAACAGAGGTTGGGATCAACCTATTAAGTAATAATAATTACTTGTGCCAGGTGACCCCGCTTTTCCTTACTATACTACATATTATACTTAATGGTGCTTGTGAAGACAATTTGGCAAAATACTTATAAAAATAATTAATATTAACATCAGTTTAGAGTGAAATATGAGGTAAAACAATAATCAATTTTTAATAAAATTTACATATTACCTGAAATGGATTAATTCTGAATTTTAACAAAATCATGTGTGCGAGCCTGCGTGCATGTGTGCGTGTGTGTGTGTGTGTGTGTGTGTGTGTGTGTGTGTGTGTGTGTGTGTGTGTGTGTGTGTGTGTGAGTGTGTGTGTGTGTGTGTGTGTGTGTGTTTGTGTGTGTGTCTGTGTGTGTGTGTGTGTGTGTGTGTGTGTGTGTGTGTGTGTGTGTGCGTGTGTGTTGTGAGAGTATGAATGTGTAGGTTTTTATAAAATATCACAGTTCTCATTCACCCATACCGGTTTCAACATATCAAACATAAGAAATAAAAAAAAAAATTAATTAGTATATTGCAATAAACATTCTGTGTCGTTGTATGTTTTAGTATGTAAATATTTTGTAACAATGTGTTTACATTTGTATGTGTTCAACTGATATATATCTAAATCTTTGTTCAGTCTATTGTAGAGATGAGCAGATTGTGATAAGAACTGACGTTGAGCGAATTTGGTTTTTACGTATCTAGTTACTGCTACCCTATCTTTTCTTCTTCTCATCATTGTATCGGTGTTAAAAGGCAAATATTTGTGTATTCGTAAGACTGTTGATTGGATATATATCTGTCTTATTGAAAGAAGCTCACTCAACTTGTAAAGTTCTTCAGTAGGAAAACTAAATGCTTTGAAATACATAACTTTCAGGAGACAACGTTGACTCCTTTCGATTTCTAATAATTTTGTTTTACCTGCTCCTCCCCAAACTGATACACAATACCCTATTATGGGCTGTGCCAATGCAGTATATATTTGGTTTAGTAGTTGTTTAGAGGTGACATGTCTTAGTTTCCTAAATATCCAAATTAATTTCCGTATCCTATTACTCGTATATTCAACTTGAGCGTGCCAGTTCAAGTGTTGATCCAGAACAACCCCCAAATACTTTATAGATGCAACCTTATCGATAACTGTACACTTACAGTTAGAACTATTAGAAATGCCACAATAATGTATCTTTAAACTATTGTTATTGTTTGGTTGCGTTCTATTATTAATTGTAAAGCATACGTACTTAGTTTTTGTAATATTTAAGGAAAGAAGGTTACTCAGCAGCCATTTTGAAACTTTTATTAGGCCAGATTCAGCATTTCTAAAAACCGAGTTCCAGTTCTTACCCGTAAAAACCATTGCGGTGTCATCGGCATAGGAAAATACTTGTCCGTCGACTAAATTTAGGTTAGTTAATGTATTTATATAAATAAGGAACAATGTAGGACCTAGTACACTTCCCTGAGGAACACCAAAGGTAAGAGATGATTCCTCACTAATAAAGTCACCTATCTTTACTTGTTGTTTACGTTCTCTCAGATAGTTCTTAAATAAATTGAGCGGGATGCCCCTTATACCGATTGACTCCAATTTACGCACAAGGATCGAAAAAGAAACAGTGTCAAAGGCTTTCTTAAGATCCAAAAATATAGCCAAACATTTATGGCCTTGATCTAGTTGTTCAGTTATATGTGATGTTAGCGCTACAACTGCATCTTCTGTCGACTTACCACGCCTAAACCCGAACTGGTTATCTGAAAGAAGGTTTAAACTTTCAAGGTAGTTGATAAGTCGTTTATTTATTAACTTTTCTATAATTTTAGAAACGGCAGGCAAAACTGAAATGGGCCTGTAGTTATTGACATCATCTGTTCTTCCACCCTTGTACAGTGGAGTCACTAATGATTTTTTGAGATAAGATGGAAAAATACCCTTTTGAAAGCAGAGATTAGCCAAATGACTTATCACGGGAACTACGAGGGATTTAGAAAACTTGAGAAACTGAGTAGAGATATTATCCCAGCCAGGTGCACTAGTTGACTTGAGATCTGTCAGGATATTTTCAATTTTCAGTGGATCAGTTTCTAATAAGGCAAATGATGATAAATGTGATGCATGCTTAAGTAGACTGTCAGGTTCGGGAGAGGTGTCATATTTTTGGATATCCTCAGCAAGATTTCTACCGATATTTGAAAAGTAGTCGTTAACATAGTTAACTGAATCATAGTGTTTTAATTTAATATTTAGTTAATCAGAATTTGTGGTCTTATTAGATTTTAGATTTGTTATTTCTTTAATTGTTTTCCAAAGTATTTTTGAATTCTTATTTGCTTTATTTAATTGTTCTCTCTCATATTTTCTTTTAAGT